AGACAACCTGTTTTCCATCCTACTCAAATTTAAATGCGTTCTTAGTCACCCTATTTTTCTCTACTCTTTAAATAACCCCAGCTCAACCTTCTGAATATATTTGGTAACTCCACACAGGCCCGGTGGCCTGGTGGCTAAAGCTCCCGCTTCACACACTGAGGGCCCGGGTTCGATTCCCGGCAGGTGAAAACATTTCGACACGTCTCCTTACACCTGTTGTCCTGTTCACCTAGCAGCAAATAGGTACCTGGGTGTTAGTCGACTGGTGTGGGTCGCATCCTGGGGGACAAGATTAAGGACCCCAATGGAAATAAGTTAGACAGTCCTCGATGACGCACTGACTTTCTTGGGTTATCCTGGATTGCTAACCCTCCGGGGTTAAAAATCCGAACGAAATCTTATCTTATCTTATCTTAATCTCCACATTGAATTCTCTGCATAATATTCGCACCACACATTGCCCTCAAACACTATATCTACTTTGCCTCCATCCTTTTCCTTGCTGCAACATTTAAAACTCATACACCTGTACCACTATACTCTGGTATATTCCACCTCTTGCCTACAAGATGCCTTATTGCACAACCCACCTTTTTCCTTCCGTTAATTCTTTAGTTCACTTCATCTTTCAGAGAATCATCCGCCCACAAGTCTTCTACCAAATATCTGAACATACCTATTTTTCCAAATTCCCCTGTTCCGTTGTTATTTTTAATTTCCTTCATTTGCATTCTCTCCCAAATTCGTTTACCAACTTTTGCAACTTCTCTATTATCTCCGGGAAGAACCACGTCAAATATTTGCGCCACTATTTGTGTAAGTAATTTGTTCGATGATCAACGTGCGTAGTGACGATGTAATAAGTTACATTACACCTTTTAATTAATGTTACATAATGTATCAAGTGAGACCCTTTTATTTTCTTTTAATAATTAATGTCTCCCTGGCTACAGATTTTCACAGGACTCCTGTGAAAAGTTGTAGTAATTTTAAGTATTTTCAATTAGCTAATAAAAATTCGTTCATGTTGTATACAGGATAAGTTAATATCTATTGATGTATATAACCTGAGAGTAACGGGGAATGTGTATGTGGGAGAGTATATTTCTTAGTATACAGTTAAGATTTACTTTAATCCTACTAGGAATATATATTTGCAAACGGTGGTCAACATGCCACATACATCCGCAAGTAACTCTTGTGTAGTCGATAAGCTTTAAACTTCATTAACCAGCGAGTAATGTCATAAAGAAGATGAAAGGCATGACTGTGGGACCCAGTAAGATACCTTCAAAACATTTACAAATCAAAATCTTTCAGTCAAGTTGTCTCTGTCAATTCTGAAATCCCGGCAATGATATGAATTTTGGATATTACAGGACAACCATCAATAATCCGGCATCACTGGGACTTGTAGGGTACTGGACCTGTCAGTCAATCACGAGAAACTGTGTCATTCCTTTGAAAGCCCTGTGACGTAAACTTTTACCAATGACGCTAGTCAAAAGTAGTGCCGGATTAGTGATGGAACCGGATTAACGATTGCTGGATCAGTGATGGCCGACCTGTATAATATCTTGGATGTCTTACCACTTACTTGACACTTGTATAAAAGTATTTTATACCCTCTTCTTGGAAACAGTTCGAAATTATGAGAAATATTCGGATTTATTTCTTTATTTATAACAAAGCAGTTTCACGTTTGACTGTTTAATTAGGCCATCTCATTATAAATTTAATTAAAAAAATAATCAACTTTATTTACTATTTATATTACTAAGCTAGACTGATTGTTTGGGGTTAAAATGTTTCTGCAAAGTTAAGACTGTGTGAGTGATTGACTACCATTGTTGTTGTTGTTGTTGCTGCTACTAATGTTACTGCTACTTCTGCCACAACATTTAATGATGTAGTAGTAGTGTTACTATTATTACTCATATTACTACTACTATTACTACATAATTGTTACTGCTTTAATTACTAACACCGCTGCTACTACTACTGCTACTTCTACTACTACTACTGCTACTGCTACTTCTACTACTACTACTGCTACTACTGCTACTGCTGCTGCTACTACTACTGCTACTGCTACTTCTACTACTACTACTACTGCTACTGCTGCTGCTACTACTACTGCTACTGCTCCTTCTACTACTACTACTACTGTTGCTGCTACTTCTACTACTGCTACTGTATTCTACTACTACTACTACGTACTGTGCTGTACTACTAACTGTATGTCTTTACTATTGCTACTGTTGCTGCTACTTCTAACTACTGATACTGCTACTACTGCTACTGGTGCTTACTTCTACTAACTGTTACTTACTCTGCTACTACTTCTACTGATATTAACTTATGTGCTGCTACTTCTACTACTTACTACATGCTACTACTGCTACTGCTGCTGCTACTTATGTTACTACTTACTACTACTACTACTACTACTACTACTACTACTACTACTACTACTACTTCTACTACTACTACTGCTCCTACTACTTCTACTACTATTACTACTGCTGCTGCTACTACTACTACTACTACTGCTACTTACAACTATACTACTACTGCTACTTCTACTACTACTGCTGCTGCTACTTCTACTACTACTACTACTACTGCTACTTCTACTACTACTACTGCTACTTCTACTACTACTACTACTACTGTTGCTACTGTACTACTACTTACTGTTCTACTTCACTACTACTACTACTACTGCTACTGCTGCTCACTATCACTACTGACTACTCTACTACTACTTACTACTTCATCTATATTTACTACTCACTGCTATTGACTTACTACTACTACTACTACTACTTACTACTACTACTACTATACTACTACTACTGCTTAACTTCTACTACTACTACTTATACTACTACTCTACTGCTATTACTACTACTCTACTACTACTACTACTTATACTCACTACTACTACTACTAACTCTGCTATTACTGCTATTACTACTATACTACTACTTATACTACTACTACTTACTTACTACTACTGCTATTTACTCTATCTACTTACTACTGTACATTCTACTTATACTACTTACTACTACTTATACTACTACTGCTGCTATTACTACTACTTACTTACTACTTATACTACTACTACTATCTACTACTGCTATTACTGTTATATCTACTACTTACTACTTATACTACTACTATTTACTACTGCTATTACTCTATTACTATCAAACTACTACTACTTGTATACTTACTACTATCTTACTTACTAACTGCTATTACTGCTATTACTACTACTACTACTAACTATACTACTACTTATACTACTATACTAATTTATACTACTACTACTTACTTTGCTATTACTACTACTACTTATACTACTACTACTACTGCTATACTGCTATTACTACTACTACTACTACTACTTATACTTACTAATACTATATACTACTACTACTGCTATTACTGACTATTACTACTACATACTACTTATACTGCTATTTACTACTACTACACTTATACTACTACTACTACTTACTCACTACTTATACTACTACTACTACTACTGCTATTACTACTACTACTACTACTACTACTACTACTACTTATACTACTACTACTACTACTACTACTGCTATTACTGCTATTACTACTACTACTACTACTTATACTACTACTACTACTACTGCTATTACTGCTATTACTACTACTAGTACTACTACTACTTATACTACTACTACTACTACTACTACTTATACTACTACTACTGCTATTACTACTACTACTTATACTACTACTAACTACTACTACTCACTGCTATTACTGCTATTACTACTACTACTACTACTATTATACTACTACTACTATCTATTACTGCTTATATACTGTATACTACTTACTACTACTACTACTACTACTACTTATAACTACTCTATACTACTACTACTTATATACTCTACTACTACTGCTATTACTCTATTACTACTTACTATACTACTATTATACTACTACTACTACTACTACTATACTGCTATTACTACTACTACTAACTACTATACTACTACTACTACTACTACTACTACTGCTATTATTACTACTACTATTATACTACTACTACTATACTAACTACTACTACTACTGCTATTACTGCTTATTATACTACTACTACTATACTACTACTACTGCTATTACTACTACTACTACTTATACTGCTACTACTATACTACTAACTATCTGCTATTACTCATTACTACTATACTTATCTACTACTACTCTTACTACTACTACTATACTACTAACTACTACTGCTATTACTACTATTTACTTAGCTATACTACTATACTACTATACTACTACTACTACTACTATACTGCTACTACTCTACTACTACTATACTGCTATTACTACATACTATACTACTACTACTACTACTACTACTACTACTACTACTACTACTACTACTACTACTACTACTACTTATACTACCACTGCTACAAAAAATACTTCTTTTTAATTAACAAAAAGGCACATTACCGTAACTACAACAATATACAAATAACTCGCACATTTGAGACTGAGTCTTTTAACAACGTTTCGGTCCAACTTGGATCATTATCTACTTTATAGTCCAAATTGGACAGAAACGTCAATGTAAGTTTCAGTCTCGTATTTGCAGGTTATCTGTGTTTGTTACCAGTAATATTACTTGCATTACTCATGTTAGTATTATTCCTAAAATTATTACCGTTATAATTACTGAAATTATTACTAATATTTCTACTGCTATTATTTTTTATACTACTGATAAAGTATTACATCGTTCACAATTATCAACAGTGTAGCTACTACCTTATCTCCTATCACACCGCTACTACCACATGAACTATTACTGCTATTACTACTACTATTATTACTACTACCACTACTACTACTACTACTACCTGCCAATAACTATGACTATTGCCAGTATAATCATCACCCTAATTATTACTGCTACGTGCCTTACTTACAGTGACTGAAGGCTAGTGAGGCTGCTGAAGGCCGCCGGAGCCACCACTGTGATCTTGTTGTCCTGTAGTTGTCTGTAGGAACAGATACTGTTAAAGGAACACCTGTTCCAGTAACGAGACAACGAGAGTTATTAAAGGTATAATTAATCTGATGCGCTAAACGAGTGTGTGCTATTTATCACAAAGAGTAATGGAAGTTCTTGTCTCTGCTAATTGCAACACAAACACACTTTCTTACTCTGTGCACATTGACTGAGATAGATGGTTCTTATTGTGAAAATTGCGATGCAAGGTTTTAGCCTGGATAGTCAAAGTAAACAATACTAGGGTAATGTGATGGGTAATAATGTTGGAACACTTTTGAAAAATAATGAAAATGTAAGGAAAAACTGCGAATTTGATTTACAGATACTGAAATAAAGCAAGACAAAGGAAAATATAATCACGACACAATACTAGACCTGTTTCGCTGAACAGTCACAGAAATATATTCCAGTATTCTATATACCATTGGTTAGTAATTTACTGGAAGGGACTATTCACCCTTTGAAAGACTAGCCACCCATTTTGAAAACTAGTAACCCGTTTTCAAGACTAGTCACCCGTTTTCAAGACTAGTCACCTGTTATCATGACTGATGATTTATGCAGAGTAGTACATGAATGTCCTCCTGTCTAGCTCTGTCATCCAGTGTGGTGTTCCAGACAAGGTGAAGAGTTTTGTTCTAGATTCACTGCAGTTTAACAGTGTTGGTTTTGTAGTCAATAACATCGACGTACGTGATGATTCAGGAAGTGGATGTATCAACTTGGAAATATGTAACATACCTGGAGTATACCTGGAGAGAATTTCGGGGGGTCAACGCCCCCGCGGCCCGATCTGTGACCAGGCCTCATGGTGGATCAGGGTCTGATCAACCAGGCTGTTACTGCTGGCCGCACGCAAACTGACGAAAGAGCCACAGCCTAGCTGGTCAGGTACTGACATTAGGTGCCTGTCCAGTGCCTGCTTGAAGACAGCCAGGGGTTTAATGATAATCCCCTTTATGTATACTAGGAGGCAGTTGAACATTCTTGGGCCCATGATACTTATTGTGTTGTCTCTTAGCGTAATCGTGGCGCCCCTGCTTTTCATTGGGGGAATGTTGCATCTCCTGCCGAGTCTTTTGCTTTCGTAGGAAGTGATTTTCGTGTGCAAGTTTGGTACTAATCCCTATAGCATTTTTCAAGTGTATATTATCATGTATCTTTCTCGCCTGCGTTCCAGGGAATACAAATCAAGGGACTTCAACCGTTCACAGTAATTTAAGTGCTTTATCGTGCTTTATCGTGCCGTGAAAGTTCTCTACATTCTCCAGGTCAGCAATTTCACCTGCTTTGAAGGGGGCAGTTAGTGTACAGCAGTATTCCAGTCTAGAGAGAACAAGCGACTTGAGAAACATCATAGATTTGGCGTCCCTAGTTTTGAAGGTTCTTATTATCCATTCTATCATTTTACTAGCAGAGAGGTAGATACATTGTTATGCTCTTTGAATGTGAGATCCTCTGACATTATCACTCACAGGTCCTTCACATTACTTTATCCCTCTATTGTATGGTTAAAATTTGTGGTATACCCTGATACAGTTTTAATTTCCACAAGTTTTCCATATCTGAGTAGTTGAAATTTCTCTTCATTGAACTTCATATTGTTCTGAGTGGCCCATTTGAAAATTTGGTTGATGTCCGCTTGGAGTCTCGCGGTGTCTTCGATGGAGGTCACTGTCACGGTAATCCGGGTGTCATCCGAAAAGAAAGGCACGGAGCTATGGCTCAACTTGTCAGATATGAAGATGAGGAACAGGATGGGAGCGAGTACTGTGCCTTGTGGAACAGAGATTTTCACCGTAGCTGCCTCAGACTTTACTCTGTATACTATTACTCTTTGTGTTCTATTTGTTAGGAAGTTATAGATCCTTTTACCAACTTTTTCTGTTATTCCTTTATCACGCATTTCATGCGTTATTACACCATGGTCACACTTGTCGAAGGCTTTTGCAAAGTCTGTGTATTACTACATCTGCATTTTGCTGATTATCTAAAGCATCCAGGACTTTGTCATAGTGGTCCAGTAGCTGGGACAAGCATGAGCGGCCTGCTCTAAACCCGTGATGCCCTGGGCTGTGTAATTAATGGGTATCTAGGTGGTTGGAGACCTTGCTATTTAGAACCCTTTCAAAGATTTTTATAATATGGGATGTTTGTGCTATCGGTCTGTAGTTCTTTGCAATTGCTTCACTGCCACCTTTGTGGAGTGGGGCTCAGTCTTTTTTTTAGCGAGTGTGGGATGGCCCCTGAGTCAATGCTTCCTCTCCATAGAATGCTGAAGGCACATGACAGAGGCTTCATGCAGTTCTTGATGAACACAGAGTTCTATGGAATTAGGTGTTGCTTCTCTCAATTTATACTCTTGGTAGAGTTTAGCTTTTGCCAAATTTACTTAATCTTTGACGTGTTTGATGTTGTTGCTGGTTCTCTTGATGATGAAGGGAGTGTTTCTGATGGCAATTTGTCCATTCATCTGAGTCAGTGTTGGGTAACATCCACTGCTGATATTTTGCATCTTGTCAGGGTCTGTGGTAATTTTCTATTTATCCCAAGAAGCTGTCATGTTTAACTCTTTGTTCATCTTTTCAATCACTTTTCATGTTTGCGATTACTGTAGTTACGTGCCGGGGTAGAGAACACATCTACTGCATCGTCAACAAACTGAATAAAGATTGTGTCTGTGTACTAAAGTTTGGGGAGGTCGTTGACATAAATATTGAACAGTACAAGACTCATGCAAGTCCTCAGGCACGTCCGTTGTAAGTGTGAACACATCGACTGTTATTTCCGTTAAGGAAGAGATGATCTGTCTGTTATTCAAGAAATTGTGCATCACTCTCAGGAATGTCCTGTTATGGCGAGCAAGATCTGTAAATTTTAATGTTTAGACATCATGACAAATATTGTCAAATGTCTTATTTATGTCCTTTGTTGCAACGAGTTCGTGGTGATCTTGTGGACGTAGATTGACTTCAACGTCGTAGATGATGCTGACAGCGTGATGAGTTGCCCTCTGGCTCCTGGAACCAATTTGCTTATAGGTGATAGATGATGGCATTCAAAGCAGTAGTTTAACCTGTTAATGATCATTTTCACTAAAATCTTTCTAGTGATACAAGAAAGAGGTGGAACTGAAGGTCTCTTTCTTATGTTCATTCTTGTTTTGAATATATCTTAAAGTAGCCCGAAGCTAGAATGACACCATAGATGTTAAGTAATCATTCCTCATGGCTTATAAGGAGATACTGAACTTGCTTCGCTGTTATATCTGAGAGTCTTGTAAATGGCCAGTCACGTCTGAGAGGTGATGGGTCTGCTGAGTGGCTGGTGTCCTGGGTAAGTTGCCCTCCACCTGTGGTTTTCTAAAATCTTTGCCTATTCCTTATTTGACATTAATTATATTCAAAATTTCCTATCGTGGATTTTAAATTTTGTATAATTATGCTCACTCATCTCTTAGTCATTATTTTTTAGCAGAGTTTAACATATTTTTTAAATCAATAATTTTAAGTAAAACAATTGAATTGTTTTTTTTAATCAGGTTTTCAGTCAATCAAAGATTTTTTATTTTTTTGTTGGACTCTTAACCTAGACTGGCACAAGTTGCTTGAGATGATATATATTACTATTTCTGGATGGCAGACTCCTGTTATTAACAACGAATACTTTTAGCATTATATCTATGAATTCTTGAATACAGGAACCCTTATTTTTTATTTACGTTTTATACTTAGACTAAGTGAATCTCTTAAATATAACTTTGTTGTTGTCGGCCACTAATGATGTTGATACTTTTGGAATGCATCCCAGTGAATAGATTATAAGCAGGACAGTCACAACACAGCACTTATGAGCGAAATCCACTAAAAATATCAATATTAAATTTTTTTTGTGGGTTTGGTTTACTTACAGAGTCGTCAGAGCTGTGAGGTTGGCCAGGAGGTCCTCAGTGATGGTGGTCAGGGAATTGTTGTTCAGGTACCTGTAACATAATACAAGTACTCTTAATTATGGAATTATCTTAAATTTGAATACACACACACACACACACACACACACACACACACACACACACACACACACACACACACACACACACACACACACACACACACACACACACACACACACACACACACACACGGTCACGAGCGTAACAACCACAGCAGGGATCCCTGAATCTTAGTGTTTTAGGACTTACTTGGTGCACCAGTGCAGACAGAATAACAAATAAGTATGAAGAATGGCACAAAAGAATCATGGAGATATCCTCAGACATCATAATGCTCACGGATATAAAGCTCATGGGGATCATAACAGATGCTATCTTTCCATCCAGATATCAGATCTTGAGGAAAGACAGGGGGAACAGAGGAGAAGGAGTTGCACTGCTCATCAAAATCCAGTGGAGTTTTAAGGAGATGGAAGGAATGCAGGTAAGGGAAGCAAGGGGGTCCGAAGGTGGTGGTTGCAGTGATGTACAAACTGCCACAGCAGACCAAGACTAGAGTATGATGAGAGAAACAGAGGAACACTAGCTGAGGTGGCCAAAGTTACTAGGTTACTTTGGTAGGGCAAAGTTACTAGTTGTGGGTGCTATCAGTCACAAGGAGATTGACTGGGAAAACCTGGAGCCACATGGGAGAGCAGAAACGTGGAGGTCTAAGATGATGGAGGCAGTACTGGAAAACCTCACGCATCAACATGTTAAGGACACAATGAGAGAAAGAGAAGGGGATGAACCAGCATAGCTGGACCTCGTATTACCCGTGAATAGTTCAGACACTGGGGATATCACATACGAAAGGGCCCTCGGAGCTAGTGATCATGCAATTCTGAGCTTTGACTATTTGCAGAGTTAACAAAGGAAAGTGAAACAACACGAGATGGATGGGAAAAGCAAAACTATAAAAGGGGGAATACACAGGCATGAAGTAATTCCTGCACGAGGTGCAGTGGGGAAGAGAACCGGAAGGAAAGATAGTAAATGAAATGATGGATCATGTGACCACAAAGTGCAAGACCGCAGATAAATTTGTATCGAAGAGCAACAGAAATAAATGGAAGACCAAAACAAGACCTTGGTTCACCCGAAAGTGTAGTGGCCAAAGCTAGGTGTCGTAAAGCATGGAAAAGGTACAGAAGACAAAGGTCCCAGGAAAATAAGGAGATGAACTGAAGAGTCAGAAATGAATATGCATGGAAAAGGAGAGGCCCAGTGGCAATAAATAAATGACAAAGCATTAAAACCCAAACACAAATAACCCGCACATAAAAGAGAGAAGCTTACGACGACGTTTCGGTCCGACTTGGACTTTGTCAATGGTCCAAGTGGGACCGAAACGTCGTCGTAAGCTTCTCTCTTTTATGTGCGGGTTATTTGTGTATCGTTCCAGTCACGGTATTGTGCCTTTTTGTTATTTATTTATTAAAACCCAAAGCTGTTGTTCAGCCACATCAGGAGGAAAACAACAGTCAAGAACCAGGTAATCAGCCTGTGGAAGGAAGGAGGAGTGATCACAAGAATTTATTAAGAAGTATGTGAGGAGCTCAACACGAGATTATGGAGGTATTTTCAGTGAATGGAGAAAGGCTTTAAGCAAACCGGAATGAATGAAATCCTCTGTCACAAGCCTTCTGGAGTTTTACGACAAGGAGGGTACACTACATTTTCTCCGACTGTAAGAAAAGATTAATGCAAAAGCTAGAGGAGCAGGCAGGAATAACAGGACAGGCACTGCAATGGATCAGGGAATACTTGACAGCAAGGAAACAACAAGTGATGGTAAGCGATGATGTGTCAGAGTGAGCGTCTGTGACGAGCGGGGTTGCCTAAGGGTCAGTCATGGAACCGGTGCTGTTTCTGGAATATGTGAACGACATGACGGTGTGGATAGATTCAGAAGTGTCCCTGACTGCAGACAATGTAAAGCTAATACAGACGAGAATCAATCAAGAACTGAAAAGGGGTCTGGACAGACTGTAAGCCTGGTCTAACAATTGCTTTTTGGAATTTAACCTCACCAAGTGCAGTGTCATGAAGACTGGGGAAGGTCGAAGAAGACCGAAGATGGAGTACAAGCTATGGGACCAAAGACTGCAAACGTCACTCAAGGAAAAGGATCTTGGCGTGAGCATCATACCGAGTACATCTCCTGAGGCGCACATCGACCAAATAACTGCTGCAGCACATGAGCGCCTGGCAAACCTAAGAATAGCATTTCGACACCTGAATATGGAGTCATTCAAGACACTGTTAACTGTGTAGGTTATACCTGTATTGGAGTATGCAGTACCAGTATGAAACCCACACCTAGTCAAACACGTTTAAAAATTATAGAAGGCGCAAAGGTTTGCAAGAAGACTAGTCCAGGATCTAAGGAATATGTCCTACGAAGATAAGTTAAAGGGAATCAGTCTGACTGCACTGCAAGACAGGAGGGATAGTGAGGAACATGATCACAACATATAAAATACAGAGTGGAATTGAGAAGGCAGATAGTGACATAATGTTCAAGAGCTGGAGCACAGCAACAAGAGGTCACAACTGGAAGATGAAAACTCAGGTGAATCACAAGAATGTTAGAAAATATTTGTTCAGTCACAGAGTTGTAAGGAAGTGGATCAATCTGGAGAGTGAGGTAATGGAGGCAGGATCCATATATAGCTTTAAGAACAGGTATGATAAAGCTCTTGGAGCTGGAAGAGAGGGAACCTAGTAAAGACCAGAGAAGAGGCTGGCTCAGGAGCTACGAATCGACCCCTGAAACCACAAACTAGTGCAGGAAATAAAATAAGAAGGGAGAGAGAGAGAGAGAGAGAGAGAGAGAGAGAGAGAGAGAGGAGAGAGAGAGAGAGAGAGAGAGAGAGGAGAGAGAGAGAGAGAGAGAGAGAGAGAGAGAGAGAGAGAGAGAGAGAGAGAGAATGAGAGAGAGACAGAGAGTAGGAAAATAATAGTGGTTCAGGGAGGCAGAAAATTAAGCAAAACCAAAATGATTTTCCTATAAGATTACCACTGCCAGAAGAGGTAGAGTCCAGTTTGCAGATGTGAAATCAATATTGAAAATAACACAATGAGAACAGGGAATAGATACCAATATTTTCTGGGAAATATATCTTGAGAAAATGTACCTGCTCGAACATTGAGGAAATAGAAAGAAAACTCTGATCGAGTTTGTTAACCTTAGTGAAGGACAAAGATCTCGGTGTTATCATGGAAAATACGACTTCACCTATAAGGAGGAGAGGCTTCAAAATGGAAATTTAAAATAAAATTGAAAAAAAAAATACGAAAAAAGTTCTTAGTGAGAAATAGTGCATAAATCCGCTTGATTATACCATTTTTCAAAGTACTTTTATTAGGCCTGGTCACAGACCGGGCCGCGGGGGCGTTGACCCCCGAAACCCTCCCCAGGTATACTCTCCAGGTATACTCTCCAGGTATACTCTCCAGGTATAACTGATGGCCGCATCAAAGTTACACGCTGACAAAATTATATTACATTTTTTTCTAAATATTATTAATTTTTTGTGAGTATTAATAAAATATTGTACTTAGCATCTTTGTGTAGCTAGTAGACACAGCATCAGCTGCCTGGTCGCTCACTAACCCTCATAAGTGACTGTGACCTGACCTGACTAGGTCAAGGTGGGATAACTGGACCTGCCTCGCATGGGCCAGTAGGCCTGCTGCAGTGTTTTTTTCTTATGTTCTTATGTTGTTATAATCCCGAGGTGAGAGTTATGTCGCTCGTCTACTTGACTCTGGGTGTGTCATGTCCCTAGACTTTCCTTCGTTATTCTTGAACAATTTCTCGTGATTTTTACAAACATTATTCAACCATTGTTGTGGAGAAATTTTCTCCAGGAGGGGGTATCAGCCCCCTTCAGCCCCTTCAGCCCCTTTCAGCCCTGAGGGGCCCAGCCCTCTCAGAAGGGGCAAGCGTCTTGTTTACTGCTACAGTGAGTAATTGATCACAGATGCCGTACGAGTATGCGACGTGGTCATGTGACCGATGCTCCTTGCAGTCCTGTGTTGCAAGGTGTAGTTTAATAAAAGACAGTACATCTCTTACTTTAGCAGGACAATTAAGGAAAATCCTGCTCCCACTTTATTACCATAGTAAAGATAGTGGACATTGTTGTCTATGCTTAAGACAGCAAGAATCAAACATTCTGCTTTGCTTCATCGAGGAAGTGGCAAGGAAGCAAAAGTATTAGGTCAGCTTTTTCTTTGTGCTAGGGGAGTGACGGCATGGGACGCTGTGGCGTCTTGAGATTACTTTTGACTCTACTGAGAGTGACACTGTCGCCAGGATAACCAACAAAGAACAACGATCTGTGCGTTAGTGTGAACAAAGTGTCTCACAAAACACAATAAACACTTAAGAGAAGTGTGATCAGCTTCTCTTGTGATAAGATTGTGAACAATAAAGACAAATCTTGTGGAACATAGTGTACCAGTGTGCGTTTCCTAGACAATGGAAGACGTGGACATCCAAAGACACTTCAGCTTCTATCAAGTCACCGATACCTGTCGAAGGTGAGAAGAACACCATAGTTCACGTTACAAGAGCAAGGTATGTTACGAATTTCTTGTAGTACGGGGGACTGCGCGGTACTTGAGTCGCAAGGAGTTTGTAATCAACCTATAGTCGGCAGCAAGGTGTGGAGTTTTGAGTCCAAACAAGTATGTATTTTGTCAGCCATCAGTGAATGAAATATGCTGACATAACACCCCCTAGGGGTAATTTATAATCTTACAAATTATAAATCTTTACAGCCCGTTGAAAGATGGGTTCGACAGCTTCTAGACCTCGTCTGCAGGGGCGGCTGTGTAGACGATTTGCTGTCTTTTATCAGCTAAGTGTTCACTATATTTATATTTATAAATTAAGCTTAGCTGGTAATGCCATTTCTCAACAATTGTTCTTTCAATGCCAGTTTATAATATCCTTTAACATTTATGCTTTATTTTAAAATACCCCAAAAAATACTAAATTAAGATTTTTAGGGGATATAATATAATTATTTATAATCAGTTCCTCTTGTAATGTTCTTTTTACCCTTTACTTGTTTATGTAAAGTAAATTATGATATCTTTAGCATTATCAATTTAACAGGTTTTACCAAGGTGATGACCTATTAAAAATCATATATTATTTTTTATCTCATTATTTTTGGGTAAACTTTATGAAACTTCTAATATACACTTGTTAGCATCTTTGTAATTTACAATAAAAAAAATATTGAAATTGGACAATTACTGAAATATTTTGATGCGGAAACCTTCCCCCTTAAATCACATATATAAATAAAAAAATGTTTGGCATATGGGCTATGCCAAATATCTCAAAGGAAGGAATGAAACGAAAATTGTATAGGCCTAAGGCAATTCCTGAATGGAACGCAATGAGAAAGGGAACTAGATGGAAAGACTATGTCTAAATTAATTGATTATGTAGCTGGAAAGTTCCTGGAGACAGAAGAGAAATTCTTACCTATAGAAAAAATGCAGCTGGAAGTGGAAAAGCGCATAAGAAAATTTAAAAAACAAAGAAAGCAGGGAAGAACAGGGAAGCAAACAGAAGAACCACGAGAGTAAGAAGAGAGGCAGAACAACACCTAGGTAATGACAGCATTGAAAACTAAATATGAAACAAAGTTATTTAACAGCCACAACAGATGAAAGAAGACAGACAGGTAGCATGAAGAGGCGGTGTTATTAACAGGCATAATATACAAGATTATGGAGAAGATTAAAGAGAAAGACTGGTGAAGATCCTGCAGAGGAGTGAGCTCTTCAACAGCCTTCACAGTTTCAGAAACAACATATACTGTACTGTCCCACGAAATCGTAATGACACAAATCTGCCAAAATTTTCTGGACTATAAACAGGTGTTCGATACAAGACTTCTAAGAAAATTCTGACAATAGCTTGAGGAGCAGAGAGGAATAATAATAAAGAGGCACATTGACAGAATAACCTCTGCAGCAAAAGCACATCCGACAAATCTAAAATTAGCTGTCTGAAGCCTCAACATGGAGTCATTCAGGACACTATATACAGTATATATCAAATAAATTTTGAATTATTTAACACAAAATGGCACCTACACCTGATAAAAAAGCTAAGAAACTGGACAAAGTGCAGAAGTATGCAATGAAATTAGGCCACTTGTCGCGAAACGTTTATTTAATAGATGTCCTGAACTGTGCACTAGTGTCCTTTTTGCAAGGTTTATCAAAATCGGCATACCATTTACAACCATTGACAGACCGATCGCGAGGCAGGAACCAGATAAACGAGTGCGCAGCCGGAAGGTTAAATACAGATGAGTCACATAGCCAGGAAGTGGAACGATGTAGACACCGAAATGGTAGCGACTGGAATCATATATAACTGAAAGGAGGTGCTCCCACAGGCAAGCCAAAACCAAGTAGCTTCCAGTGGAGAGTCTCGGCCAAAAACTAAGACACAACCAAATGAGTTGTATGGGGAGAGCACCACCAGCGTAACTATTTTAGCAACTATAGACATACCGATGGCACAATACTACCAGCACAGCACTACTTTTGTACCTACGAACACTCAAGACGGGACACCACTAGCATAACCCTGTTCTTGTAACTACAAATACTGAACGTAGAACACCACTACATAGCCATGCTGAAGTAGTTACAAATGCTGAACTCGGAACACCGCCAACAGACACTAAAGAAAGCATCTCTCTCAGTTTCAAAAACTGAATACAGGACAACAACAGCATAACTCTTTTCCTGAAATTACAAACACAAATGTGACACCAACAACATAAATCTGCTCTTGTACCAAGAAACACTAAAAACCACACACAGTCAGCATAGTTTTCCTGCTGCTACTACGAACACTGTAGAGCGGACACTACCAGCGTAGTTCTGCTAATGTAACTATAGACTCAGAAGATAAGATACCACTAACGTAGTACTGATCAGAGGATATCACCAGCATTACTCTGCTCTTTTTAACTCCAACACTGAAGACAAGATCCCACCAGCAGAACTCTCTTCTTATAGCTATAAACTTTGAAGATAGGTCACCATCAGTATAACTGCTTCTGTAACAACAGGCACTATAAACATACACAAGGAACATAGCTCTTCCACTGTACTTACAAACATTAAAGATGAAACACCACCAGTACAGTAAGAGAGATGACCAACATTGTTCTGCAATTACAAACTGAGTACGTAAGACCATAAGCTCAGTTGTGTTCCCGTGACTACATCACTGACTACAGATAACTGCGAATATAACACTGCTTCTATAGTTTCAAATATTGATGAAAGATAACCATTACAGATCTGGTACTATACACACGAAGAGTGGGACACGTGGAACATAGTTCTATTACAGTAATTACAGACGGTGAAGATAGAACACTATCTTTATAGCTCTGCCCCTCTAATTTCCAACATTCAAGAAGTAATGCCACAAAACACAAGTCTGTTGCTGTAAATTAAACTATAAAATTGTAATTCCACGAGCATTACAATACTTCTGCAACTACTGACGCAGGACGGAAAACTACGAGCGTTGATGTGCTCCAGTAACTACTAGTAAACAATTACAAACATACACACACGATGACAAATTCATACTTACAAGTTAGTGAGTTTGGGCAAACGAGGGAACGTTTGCTGCTCCAGCGTCAGTTGATTATGGGCCAAGTACCTGAAATAACGTGAAAAAACAGTTGAAATTCAAGGAAAACAGAGGAACAAGAGTACAAATGGTCAAGAAATACTTGAAATTATCATTGCTAGGTTTTGATAACACTGCAGACGAGTGTTAAAATTGTGTCTACACGATAAGGGATGTTCAGATCATTCCATCACAGCGTCTCTCTTCATCGACATTATCAATTTATACGTTTTTAATTACCTCAGAATAATTCAAATGTAAATTTTATGAAGAATTTTAGCGTTTCAAATTATTATACTTACAGTTCCTGAAGAACGGGGGTGTGAAGGAAGCAAGTCAGGTCAATATGGACGAGTCTGTTCCTGTCTAGAAAAAGTCGCTGAAGTCTTCCCAGGCCTTGACAGCTCTGATGGTGAATCTCTTTTATGGAGTTCTTTGACAGATATCTGAAATTGATAGTAATATAACGATAGCATCTCTTTGTAACAAAAGATGGTATAGAAATACCAACGCGATGCAGATAATAGGCACTAAAAGCAGAAATTTGAAACATAAGACACCGTTCAGTTCGTCCTCCCCAACATCAACAACAGTAATCCTACATACATCAACCCCAGACTTACGTCTCATTTCCTAACAAAATAGCAACAAACGAAACACACGGACACCACAAACCAGAGGGAACCAAGACATCATAGCTATCACAGACGTAACTGAGATGATAGATGTTATAGTTCCAGCAGGATATTAAGTACATAACACACATACAGGAGAAAGTTTTTATTGACTTTTTGGTCAGACTTCGGCCATTGACAAGTCACACTAACTCAGGAAAATAAGAGAACCAGTTTATATAGGAGAGGGGGACAAGGACGGGACAAAAAGAAGGTAGAGGGAAATGGAGAACTAGTGGAAGAGAAATGCTGGTAGTGAAAGTAGCAGTAGAAGTAGTAGTGGTAGTAGTAAGCAGGTAGAGTAATGGTAGTAACACAACAGACAGAGAGGGGGGGGTGAATTGAGGCAACAGTAGTAGTAGTAGTAGTAGTAGTAATAGTAAAAGTAGAAATGAAGAAAGTCTAAGGAGAAAACAAAAGAGCACTGCAAGAGAGCTAATGTCCCACGATTATGGGGCAAAAAACACAGGAGGGGGGATAGGGGGGGAACCGAAGGACAGAACACGCCTAAGTACAAGAAAGGAAGACAATGAATAGTAGAAAAAGAGAAGAGGTAGAGAGGGGAGGAGAAGATAAGATCAGGTCAAGTCACAAATGTTCTGAAGTTTGTAGCAATTGACAATGTAATGGGAAAGGAAGTCATCTAGAGAGATAAAGCCACGACTAAGATTCATATTAGGAAAGTAGTGTATAAATGATGACTCAACAAGATGGCATCTGTGAGGGCAATAAGTAGGGTAGACAGTGTTAGGGGAGGAGGGGTCATTAGGATGACTGTGATCTCTAACATGGGAGAAAGAGAGCGGCTAGTTCTTGGTTTTGGTCTTTCATTTGCCATTTAACCTACCTATCGAGGTGGCTTTGACCTGATTAGCCTTTTAATTCCTTCCGTCAGTCTCACTCTCGGAATCTTCCTGACTTGTCCACATTTTGTGGTTGTCTCCTTCTATTTCTAGACAGCCTGTTGTCTAAAATTTACCGCCTTCCTCGACACTGTGAACCAGCCCTTTCTTCTCTTAAATCTAAAACCAATATTGATATCCTTTTTTCCCACAAAGGTAATTGAGTGGTTGTCCTTGATCACGAAGATTACCTCCGCGAAGCTGAAGCCTTGATCTCTGACTCGTGTACTTACATTCCTCTTGTTTCCAACCTTCTTGATCGCATCAAGAGAAATTTAACAATAAACTTCGGACTCTCCGATCTCATTCTTCATGACTTTTTGCCCTTATTCAACATTTCCGCGTTATTTATCCCTCTCTGCACTATTTCTATGGTCTTCCTAAAACCCATAAACCTGATATCACTCCAAGTCCTATTACATCCTCTAGAGGTTCTGTCTCTTATTCTCTTGCTTCTTGGCTGGCCAAAACCCTCACTCCCTTCCTTGGTACATTTTCTCCTGCCCACCTCAAGACTTCATTGAACGTGATCGCTCTCTCCTGACCTGTAAGATGCTTAGTCTTGACCTTGAGTCCCTCTTCACTAATGTCCCTCTTGATGATCTTAATTTTCTCGGAGTGAAGGCCAGTGAGGAGTTACTTTACCTCTCTAGATTTACTGATGTTCTGATATTATTCGCCTTTGTGTGGACTCTAACTTTTTTTCCTTTCAAGGTAAATTTTATTCTCAACCTTCGGTGTTGTTGTGGGTTCTCATCTGTCCCTGTTCTTGCTAACCATTATAAGAACATAAGAACATAAGAAAGGACCACTGCAGCAGGCCTGTTGGCCCATCCCATTAACAAAACATTTGCCCAACCTAATTTTCAATGCTACCCAAGAAATAAGCTTTGATAACTATCCACTCATATGCAAGTCCCACTCAAATCCAACCAATCTCATTCATGTATTTATCCAACCTAAATTTGAAACTACCCAAGGTTTTAGCCTCAATAACCCAACTAGGTAGATTGTGGAAATATAAACAGATATGCAGTATAATGTGGTGACGTGTACTTAGCTCTGTGAAGACCTGTTTGTGTGCTCTCTGTGAATCTGAACCAGGATGCCCTCTCTTGAGCAGCTTTACCAGCAGCTGAGAGAAGAACTCAGAGTTGCTAAACTGGAGATACGGCGATTAACGGAGGAGAACAAGAGGATTCGTAGTAATCCTCCTGTTGTGAGTCCCCAGGTTAAGAGGGGAGCTTGGTCAGTGGCCGGGCAACATGGAACCAAGCTGAAGATTAAGAAAACGGTTGGAGAGGCAGAAACAACGAGAAACCAGAAGACTGCCGTGGAAACTTCCAACTCATTCTCGGTGCTACCTGACGAATGTGAGTGTTCTACTGGGAATGCCACAACGAGCACCAAGGAAGCATTGGCAGACGTGAGTGAGACATCCCTAGAAACCGCAACGAAGACCATCGAGAACGTCATGACGAATTCTACAAGTGGTGTAATGCTACCTGGCGAATGTGAGTCGACTACTCGGAGCATCACTACGGACGACGCCAAGGAAGGTAAAAACATTGTTGTTGTTGGGGATAGCCAGATTAGGTACATGGATAGGGCATTCTGTTTGAAGATAGGAGTAGGAGGCAGAGAGTGTGTTTTCCTGGGCTGGGATGAAGGATATTGTTAGCCGTCTGGATGACATCATGAGAGGTAATGGGAGCAATCCTATTATCTGTCCAGTGCTGGAGGCAACGATGTTGGCAGACGTAGGAGTGAGGACCTGATTAGCAGGTATAGGTCAGCAATAGAGATAATTAGGAAGAAGGGTGGGAAACCTGTCATATGGCATTTTGCCAAGGAGAGGAGTTGGAAATGAATGGTTGTCCAGAGCAATTGGTGTCAATTGCTGGCTGGACAAATACTGTAAGGAAAATGCGGTAACATTCTTTGGGACAACTGGGACCTCTTCTATGGCAGAAATGACATGTATGCCAGGGATGGGGTTCCCCTTGTCTAGGTGTGGGGGGGGAGCACTGGCCAACACAGTGGAGGGAGCTGTTAGTTTTAAACTAGGAATAGTTATGGTATGGGTTTTGCGGGAAAACTGTGAAGTCGCAGGGTAGTAACATGATTTACTAGGAGAACTAGTAATGGGCAAAATGAGGAGGATTTTGGGAAAGCCAGTGGCACTAATTGACAATGACAGTAATAGGTTTAGTGGAATAACAGAAAGGAGCAGGAAGGGTAAAGAGATAGGAGGGCCCATTAAATATTTATTACACAAATATTTCGCAGTGCTAGGAATAAGATGGACGAGTTGAGACTATTTGCTAGTGCAGGTAACATAGATGTATTTGCCATTACTGAGACGTGGTTTAATTCAAAAAGTGGGGACATGCCTGCAGAATGTCACATTCAGGTTTTAAATTGTTCCAAGTAGATAGAAGTATCGGGAAGGGGGGTGGGGTGGCATTGTATGTCCGAGATCGCTTGAACTGTTGAAATAAAAACGGGTATTAAGTCTGAAGTAACACATACAGAGCCCTGTTTGGATAGAATTTTCAGAGGGGCATGAAAAATTAATTTTAGGTGTGATATACCGTCCCCCAAATTTTAGATAGGGACCAGGGGAGACTACTATGGGAGGAAATTGTTAGGGCCCACAAGGCACGATAAGTAGTAATTCTAGGAGACTTTAACTTTAGTCATATTGATTGGAATTCTTGACTGGGAATTTAGAATCATACGATTTCTTAGAAGTATTTTCAGGATTTTTTTTTTGAAGCAGTTTGTGACAGAACCTACAAGGGTAATAACCTGCTTGATTTAAAGTTCTGGCAAACAATGAATCCCTTGTTAATAATTTAGAAGTTTCAGAGGAACTGGGTGCTAGCGACCACAAATCAATTACATGTAGAATTGAATGGGGAAATATTATAGTAGAGGGTAACTCAGTAACAGTCCCAGATTTTCGCTTAGCAGATTACGATGGGCTTAGAGAACACTTATCATCTGTTGACGGGTAACGAAGAGAGCTATCAATATGACAGTTTTCTGAACACAATACATGCTGCTCAAAGAACGTTTATCCCTTATAAGGAAATTAGATCAAATAGAAATGACCCAAAATGGATGAATAATAGGCCCGAAATATCTACTAGGGCATAAAAAAGAATTTATAGGTATCAAAAGAGGCGAGGGTCATCTTATGAATCAGTATATTGACATTAAGAGGGACATTAAAAAGGGGGTAAGAAAAGCTAAAAGGGACTATGAAATTAAAGTTGCTAGGGATTCTATAACTAACCCAAAAAGTTTTTTCAGGTCTATAGAACAAAAATAAGAGATAAGATAGGGCCCCTTAAAAAATACTATGGGCATCTTACTGACAAAGAGAATGAAATGTGCTCGATTTTAAATAATTATTTTCTCTCGGTTTTTACACAGGAAGACACTAATAATATTCCCGGGAATTAATTTTTATAGGGGGTCAGAAGAAATAAATTATGTAACATCACAGTCACTAGTGAAATGGTTGTGAAGCAGATAGACAGACTGAAGCAAAATAAGTCACCGGGTCCTGATGAGGTTTTTTCAAGGTTCTAAAGGAATGCAAAATGGAAGTCTGTGAACCATTAACTAAAATTTTTTTAATTTATCTCTTTTAAACAGGTGCAGTGTCTGGATATGTGGAAGATGGCTAATTAATTCCTATTTTAAAACAGGGGACAAGTCGTTACCGTCAAATTTTCCGCCCAATAAGCCTGACCCCCAATTGTAGGCAAGTTTTCTAGAGTCAATTATAGCTGAGATTATAAGAAGGCCATCTCGATAAGCATAGCTTGATTAATGATACTCAGCAAAGGATTTACATTT